GGGGAGACGCAAGAAGACCCTCTTTGAAAAAAGGAGAAAAGAAGATTCATTTAAAGTAAAACTAGCGGGAGCAGCCAAGCTTGACCAGCCGCGAGTTGGGCTCGGGGAGTTTTCCGAAAGCTAACAGAGGAAGGGAGGGGAGGGGAGGGGGAGCGGGGGGGGGGGGAAGGGAATTCTTTATAGTGATTGAAATCCCTTCCTTCCATCTCTTTGGGGCTAGGAGGAAGGAGAGAGGCAGGAGAGAAGTGAGTTCAGGGATCCTTGCTGGAGGAATTAGCATCCTCGTCGCTCACACACACACACGAAGAGACACACACCACCACCCCGCCCTCGGGCTGAGAGAAATTGTTAGGTAGGTTTGACTGTTGACAAAGCAATTCCTCCAGGAAGTCCCGCTCAGGAAGAGGTGACAATTTGGGGAGGTGAGCCGAGATTAGAGGCTCCTTAAAGGGGAGGCTCCTCCTGTGCTTTTCCACCAACAGAGATGTTATCCCTACAAAGACGCTTCCCAAAGCTGCCTTTTACTTTCTTTACTATTTTCTTTTGTTTTGATTTTATCTCAAGATGGGTTGCTTTTGATAAAGGTGTACCCGAGTTTAATTTTTATAAAGTACTGCTGCCAGAAGATTTCAGAACTTTTAGCAAAAGCTGCCCAACCCGCTTTGCTTGGATTCGCTCTTCCAAACCCCAACCTTCCTTAACGAAACTTGCCTGTGAATACCCACCGCGCTCAGTTCGTCCCGTTCCTTTCTTGACTTAGGAAGACCCGCCCGAGAGGTTCTTTCAGAGCGGCTGCCATCAACATCTCTTGGGGCGTGCCATAGGGCTAAGCGGGTTGACTGGGGAATGGGAAGCACTTGGCCGGGGGTCCCAGGGCGAGAGGCCCGATGTGGGGCAGCTGAGACAGGAGGCAGAGGCCGCGCTGGGGCTTGGAGTGAGGTTGATCGGCTGAGGCCAGAAGCAGTGGCCGGAGTTCAGTTAGAATTAGAATTGGAATTAGAATACAATAGAGCTGGAAGGGACCTTGGAGGTCTTCTAGTCCAGCCCCCTGCTCAAGCAGGAGAACCTATGCCATCTCAGACCAGTGACTATTCAGTCTCTTCAGTGGCAGGCGTTAGTTGAGGATTTTGGCCAGATACCGGTAAGTCCTGACGGCCCAGGTATTTCCCGGTAGACTGCGAACGCTCTGCCAAGGTGGAAAAAAGCCGGGATGAACTGCAGTGACCGATTAATTTTTATTTTCTGGCGTGGCTCAGACCAGAACAGGGGCCTTGAAATAGATTGGGAGGAGGTCTCGGGTTGGGGCAGATCTTAAAAGAGGATGTGATTGTGTTGGGTGCGCCTCGCTCAAATACCAAGTTCATACAAAGCAGCGCGGGGGTGGGGAGATAACTCAGCTTCGGGGTGATCTAGATCATTTAGAACAGAGGTCTTCAAACTTGGCAACTTTAAGACTTGTGAACTTCAACTCCCAGAATTCTGCTGGCTGGAGAATTCTGGGAGTTGAAGTCCACAAGTCCTAAAGTTGCCAAGTTTGGGGAACCCTGATTTACAAACATGGTTTAGTTTGAAACTTTTCCCGAAATCTAAGAAGTAGCCAACCTCTCAACGCCCTCTGTAGGAGTCGCTTGGAACAATCTCGGTTGCCCCAAAACTATAGTGGCGTGGAGAAAACCTTCCCCCCACCTGCGTCCGGGATAGGGCCCGCCCCCCCCCCGCCCGCCCCACACACCCCTCGGCTCCCTCCGGCCTCCAGCTCCGTCCCGACCCGGGAGGAGGGAGAATTTCTTTCACCGACCTACCGCTTCGGCTGCCGCTGCCGCAACTGCGCCGGGGCCAAGCCATACCGGTTGAAGGGTGATTGGTGGAGGGGAGGTCAGAGAAACTCGTCTCCCTGCGCGTGTGAATTTGTGGACTTGTGTGAGTCCCCGAGGTACGATTTCCGTGAAAGGCTTTTCCCGGCACAATGTCAAAAACTGGAGAACCGTTTTCGGCCAACCGTCTCTGCCTCTCTCTCTGCCCTGTAAATGGCCCGCTTGATCCGAGCACAAGGGCCATTGCGTTGGGCATTAAGACCGGCCCAGTCACACGCAGACACACAGACACACACCCCGGTAGGACAGAAATAACATAACAACCAGCCGAGGCGCAGGGGGCAAAAGGATCATTGGCGGCAGCAGTGGCATTTCGCCACGCAACGTTCTGCTTGAAAGGCAGTCTGCCTAAGCTGTCGGAGCCTATAAGGGCTCCCGAAGTGGGCAGGCGAGAGAGACAGAGGGAAGTGTCACCCTGATTGATGTCATCCCGAGAAATATTCCACGCGAAGAGGCGCAGCTGGTTGCGAACCTGAGCCTTTCCTGCTGGCGAAGCGGAGAGGCAGGAAAGATCTAAGCAAAGCGGGGCGAGGGGGAGTTTCAATTCGCCTACCTGGAAAAGGACGAAAAAGAACCCGCGTTGAGGAGCAAATGGCAGGGAGTTTATTGATTTGCCGCAGGCTCCTCGCCCCCCCCTTTCGTTTCCCGACCGTTTCTCAGAAGTGAAAAAAACAATTTTCCTTCATTTTGCAATCGATTGATCTCTTTTATGCATAGTAAACGTAAAACACACACACACACAAACACACACACAAATACAAAGTTATTCCCGGAGACGGTTGAAATAGCAAAACAAGCGGGTTTTTTTTTAAAAAAAGTCCTGTCTTTGGCAGAATGAAAATAGAAACGCAGGGCAAGCGCGCGTCGTAATGCCTTTTCTTAGGAAAAAAAAATCTGGGGTGGTCGAAATACGCATTGACGGATAGAATGCTTCCCCCTCCCCTTTTCTATGGCGCGTCCAGCTAAATGGGACTTACTTGGGCTTGGTACTACAAAAGAAAGTCCCCGCGAGTAGGTTTCCTTCCCTTCCCTTCCTTCCTTCCTTCCTTCCTTGTCCCCTTCGGACCAGCTCGGCGCCACAACCCGCAGCCCCCTAGGCCGATCCGCAGCCTTCTCCTTCCTCCAAGGTGAGTCTGTCTGGGGGGACGGGGGTAGGACTTCCAAGAAGGCCCAGTTTCAAACGGCGCCCTTGGTGGATGTCGTGGCGGCGGCTCTTCGCGCGGAGCGGGGGAAAGGCGCATCTCCGGAGCCGTGGCGGCCGGCTGGCCTGTGTCTTACGCCCGCCGCGCTCCGGCCAGCGCTCTTGGCGCAGAGGATCTGGCTTCCCCCAGCTTCGTTCGGACGCGACCTTCTGACGGCAGAAGGCCTGGGTATTGGGAAGGCGCTGTGATGATGAAGATGTTGATGGCGGCGGAAGATCGGAGTTTACCGCCACACACACACCCCGAGGTGGCCGGGAAGCTGCCGCCGCGGCGTCTGGGAGGTGGAAGAGCGCATTCCCGCCGCCCCCCCTCCTCAAAAAACAAAAACAAAAAACCCCGGCCAACCAAGTAGCGAGGCGAGAGCAGCGATCAAACCAGGTGTTCTCGGGCTCTCCAGGAGCGGGGATGGGCGGATGTCAGGGTCCCCGCCAGCCCGAGGCCCGGGCGTGCCTGGCGGGGGCGGTTGGAGGATCGCCGGGGCCGAGCCAGGGAACCACTGGCCGGGGATGGGGCGCTGCGCTTTGGCGAATCCGCGAGTGTTGGAATCTACTGCCTTTGTCTGACAAGTCATCCATCTCCCGGGCCGGCGCGCGGGGGTGGGAGGGAGAGAGGGAGGGGTGGAGGTGTGTGTGTGTATGTATGTGTGTGTGTATGTGGACGAGGGGGGGTGCCGGGTGCGATCTGGAGGGGGCTTTGCCGCTTTTAGAGAGACGGGCACTGGCGGCGGCAGCTCCATTCTCGAGGCGCAGCTCGTGGCAAGCACATCCCCACCTTGGCGCAAATCCGCCAGGAAGGCAAAGAGGGGGAGGAGGAAGAGGAGGAGGAGGAGGAGGAGGCAAAAGTCTGGCCGGAGCAGAAGGAGCCCTCCACCACCGTCGCCAAGGAACCTGGAGCTACAGAGGCGAAGAAGGCTGCCTGGGGAGGGAGCGCCAGCGTGCCCGGACTGGCCGCAGCGCGCCAACTTCAGCTCAGCTGAGCCCGGCCCGGGAAGGAGAGTCGCCGACACCTTACGGGGACCCCGCCATGCCTTGCTTCGGGCCCCCCTTAGCCAGCCAGGCAGGGATCGTGTGAACGCTGCAGAGGGCATAACTTCCCCCTCGGCTCGCCAGCTCGCTCGGCCAGCAGCGGGCTTAGGGCAAGGAGGCTCCCCGCGGCCCGCCGGCCGGGCTTCCACGGCTTGTCCTTCTGATTCTCCCCCAAGTCCTGAAGTCGAACCTCCGAGGCGAAACGGCGGCTTCAGCCGACTTCTTCCCTTTCCTGTGCCTCCCCATGGATATGCACTGCAAAGCAGACCCCTTCTCCGCGATGCACCGTGAGTACCGGCCGCAGCCTCCCTTCCCCCGCCCGGCGGCTGCCTCCTGAATCCCGCAGTCCGCTAGAAAGTTCGGGCTTTTGGTTTCCCACCGTCTTTCCGCTGGGGCCCGTGGAAGCCGCTGGCCGCTCGCCGCTTTTGGATCTGCCAGAAAGGCAGTTGAGGGCTCGGGAAGTCCCGGTCCTCAAACCGGCGCGGCTCCTTCCACATATTCCCCTAGGAAGTCTGGGTCCCGAAGAGGCCTCACCGGAATGCCCACGGTCAGGCTCTGGCGTGCGGGGAGTCGAAGGGGCAATCTTGCTGCCTTTTCGACCTTTCCCTTCACTACTCCGAAGGCGGCCCCGGCGGAGGAACAAACGGCGGTTTATTTACATGCGTTTATTTCTTTGGGGAGGGTAAAAAAAAAGCACACATTTCAAGGTCGAAAATATTAATTATGCCGCGTTTTATGGAAATGTGGGTGCGTGACCGATTTTTGTGTTTGATTCCAATTCCCTCTCCCCCCCCCCAACCTTGTCCTGCAATTTAAAACTGATAGAAGGAAGGAATTATGTTGATTTGTAAGAAATAAAGACGCGAGGCAAAAACGGGTGGAAAATCCAATATCTCCGTCAGGTTCCCCTCCCCCCACGCGTTACTGTATT